TACCTTCTATCAAATACTCATTTAAACCTTCGCATTTATAATATTAGTCAGATATTCCAAAAAATATAAACATAAACGATAAACTTCGTAATAAGTATATTAATAACTTGACAAGTATCTACCAGTTAAAATTATTAATAGAGGTTGCATGTAATATTGTTTACTCAAGTTGCGTCATACTTATTAACACGCACGTAATCATTATCACAAAGACCTTATCCCTCTTATGTACCTTTTTACGTATCACGTCTTCATGATTCTAATATTATAAATGCGAAAGTTTAGATGGACGGATGTTTGTTAGAGTTTGTAGCCTAAACACCTGAACGGATTTCGATGAAATTTGGCATAGATGTAAAGATAATCTGTAAGAACACATAGGCTATTTACTTTGTTTTTTTTTTTTAATTCCAGGCAGACGGAGGCCGGAGCGTAAGCTAGTAAATTGTAAATATCTGTTAAGATTGGAAAATGCCTCTAAATAGCATGTACTTGGTTGAAAATATGTTCTTGTTTACAATTTCCAACCCTTTGTTGATAAAAACAATGACAATTCTGATCTGTTTTAATGATTTAACGATTGCCGTTATGTAGGTCGCACGAAGAAGGTCAAGTCAGTCCTCAGATATGGTAACCAATTGGTTGCTAATGTACAGGATATTAACGATATTCGATACATTGCTACTTAAGTGTACAACATTGGGTTACGACTGTCGTAACACAGGTGATGCATATTGTACAACTCAAAGGCAACAAATTGACGATATAAGGATAAATAAATAGAAAAAACACTAGATCTGTGTACACACATAAATTAACTCTCGCACTCACTGATAGTTTAGCATATGAAATCTACATTAAGGCATTGTTTACGTGATCAGTTAACAATTCTAAATGCGGCAGTATTCTTTCCCTCGCACGTACAAGTATTTACGCGTACTTTTTTATTGTAATCGTATCGAGTTATAAACGGTTTGCAACAAGAGCACAGAGGTTAAGGGGACGTGACCGCTAACTGACGTCAGGGGTTCGAGACCGATTACTTCGCCCGCTAGATAGCGCCGATGTCGTTGTGTTAGATAACAGTAAATCTCAGCTCACATATTATTTTTATTATCTTCAGAAAAATTATAATTAAGTGGTGCAAAACTGAAGGAAACAGTCCATTTATACTCATTTACAAATCGATACAGGGCCGATATATTAAATCACTGCATTACACTGTTTTTGTCAGCAAGCCTAGAATGTAATCTATACTAATAATATAAAGAGAAAAAAAAATACGTTTGATTAAATAATATTTTCTTCTTCAAATATGATAAGAACCGTAACTCCGAGACCGTCACTTAAAGAATGACACGTCAAAATACTACCAGTTTCCACCCAACCGGGACCAATTGAAAGTCATAATTTGCTATGCATCATTAGGCTATCTAGCTATGTTCTTAAAAATGTTACAAAGTCAAACCATCGGTTTAGGTACATTTAGGAGAAAACAAACACTAGCACTAAGAAAAGGTTTTACGAAATCCCTCCTTTAAAGGTCTACAGATGAGGAAGGTGAATTTTTCTGTGGAGGAACGTTATTCTTTAACACAATTATTTAAAATCGACATAAACACTTTTCATAAAAAATACTAATGTAATAAAGCATAGGGTGCATTAGGCAATATTACACTCACAATAATTTAATATTATTGATAAATTAACAAACAATGAATATAAAAAATTGTGTTGTCACCAGGCATAAACGTATGTATGAAGTTTTAGAAAAATCTGTCAACTAGAAGCAGGTCTAAGTTTACTTAGAAATGTACAGCTTATACATATCTAGCTTAGCGTCAGCACCGGCGTGGGTAAGGTAATGTGGGGCCAGAGCCCGGTGGGGTGCCGGACAGAGCTGGCGCCCTGTTATCCGTTTTTTCGTATTAGTTTGTATTGCTGTAAAGGCACTTGTAACGACAAAATCGGCAATACTTAGCAAGTCACTTAAATAGTGTTTAGCAACTAACGACTATCATTTTCACCTGATGTCATGAGCAGTGGTTTTTGATACATTTTATGATAATACTAGCTTTCGCCCGCGATTCCTTCACCGTGGAATTAAAAAAAAAACAAAAGTGAGTAGCCTATGTGTTCTTCCAGACTGTCCCCTACATCCATACCAAATTTCATCGAAATCCGTTCAGTCGTTTAGGCTAAAAACGCTAACGAACATACATCCATCCATCTGAACTTTCGCATTTATAATATTAGTATGATTGTATTTTAGTTGATTTTTTATATTTTGAAATAGAAAAAAAATAACTTTGTTAGTACTAAATGCGAAAAATTAGAAGCGATATTTTTTCATGTGCTGAAACACAAGTCGGACATGTAATATGTAATGATAAGGCGGATCATAAATAAATTATCACCGTTCACAGATCGAATCAATTTCATTCGATGTCCAATCGATTTAGGTGTAAACTGCAGTAAAAGCCTCGGCGTAGCACTATCACATTATAAGCGAGTAGTGTTCGCTCCTATTTGTACTGGATTCGACACGGCCAGCTTTACGATCACAATTGTACCATAAGGGTCAATTGAACCTTACACTTGCCGTTTTATTCAACATTCCTCTAATAGATGAAAGGATTTAATCAAAGCATGTAGGATTCTTATTAGCAGTTACACCTATCCCGTATTGGATTTATAACCAAAAAAGAAAAAACAAAAGATAGTTAATTAATCTGCTATACGTCTTGTGTTAATGAAAATCAAAGTTTGTTTAGAAGAAACATTAGTAAGACGTTCTGTGGACCAGGTTTGTGTGTTAATTCTATTTTTTTCATTATTTCAAACTAAAATTAAAAAATGTTTTAATAAAACTTGATTGTAATGCACCATTATTTAAAGATTTTTAGATATTGTGTTTTGCCATATAAACTTTGGCTTGCGGAAAAAATGTATTTCAGTTATTTCTGTTTCTAACTAAAGTATCTGGTAGTTGTCAGTGTCTTGGTCTCTCTAACGTGTATTTTACTTCATAAGCCGAATAAATGACGTCATTCATTAACCAAAAATGGTTATAAAAGTGTATCTATGATGTAAATCAGATCCTATTTCCAACTTCAAGGATTCCTATACGTAATCTGAAATAGCAGCGGTTTTAAGAACAGCACCGTGCAACCGGACGGCATTAATGACTTGGCAATTTACTCGCCGAATCGAACCCCGCTATACGTTATTTCAGTGCGGGCGATTAAATCTATCAATGAATTTCCGGCAGCCAAAGCCTGACACTTTTAATATCGACAATCAACCCGCCGCGTTCTCAATGAACAATGCTGGTGTGGTCGTAAATAAATCTAACTTCGTGCTAACAGTGGCCCGTTTTAAATACGACTCGTTGCTGTAGGTGTACCAAAGACGCGTTGACGCTACGATGCAATGCGAAAAATTCAAGGAGTCCTTGTACATATATTTGTAGCTCTATGTCTTTTCTCTTAAAAAGTGTATCACAATATGGCGTTAATTCTATTTGATTAAACAGGAACGTCGCCAAAACCTAGTAAGACGCTATCGCATCACCAGCAAATTCGTTAAAGTTCAACTTTGTATACAAAACATTCACTGTCAGAGAAATACTCCGACAAATAGTTTAGATATATTATCAGAGTTTTCGTTAGGCATATTCAAGATCAAAGCAGAGCTGCATTACCACGAACTTGAAAATAATTAAACATCCGCAATCACCATACCTACCATAACAAAACACTAGCGATAACATACTTTGTATATTAATCTCCGCAATAGACGTTTGTATTTGTGCGATCTTATCACAAAGAATAAAATAGGCTCTATTACTTTTGGAGCATGATTGCTAGACAAAACAAGTCATTAGTTTTAATGCTGACTTAACTGATCGACCAAAATTGTACAGAGAATTTGTGCATCTTTAACACTTAATTATTGAAATAGGATATTTAGAGGTAGGTACCAACATATATTATAGTACACTAAAAGTAACAATACGGGCGTTATTAGAGGGGTACACCGGTAGAGGTGGACCTAGAAAGAGATGGATGCATTGCGTGAAAGGTGACATGATCAAGAAGGGAGTGATGACTGAGATGACGGGTGATAGAGTGCTTTGGAGGACGAAAACCCGGTGCGCCGACCCTACGGGAGTAGGATAAGGCAGGGGAGATGATGATGATGACACTGCCCGCGAGCATAATGCAACTTAAGGTAAAGCAATAAAAAGCTACAACTAAAATTTAATACTTAACAACATTCAATTTAGTAAGGTCTAGGAGACAAACAAAAAGCTTTTTGTATATATATAGGTACTAATATTATCAAATAATAACGTCGTATAATTAACCGACATAAGTCAAGATTTAGCTCTAACATAGTGTTAAAGTTGGTATCGCAAGGAAGACTTTGATATATACCGCGGTATTTACTGTTATGGCTCAAGGCATAATTGGTTACTAACACCCGACTTAATACGGCACGTTTCTTCCTACCAACACCCTGTATTGAATTTCAACGGAGTCTTAATTTATAAATAGTCAATTATTTCAAGATGTTATTATGGTTTGATGCGTGATGATGAAATTGGATCCTAAAGTAACGTTTAATTATTATGGCGAATGCAATTTTTACATAATTTTATGTGAATTATTGAAAACAGACAAAAATTTAATCCATTACATCCATACGATGGATCAAATCAAATGTATCGTATGGATTCATTTGATTTGATTAATATATTTTTTTTTATTTGCACGCGTCGCTCGTGTTGCCCTATAGATCATACTAATCTTTTAATAAGTTTTAAGAGAGAGAAAAGAATTGCAGTCACTATACTTAGAGCCGTCATACACGCACTGCTTGAAACAGCCAGCGAACAACCCACTGCACTTTAGCGACGTCTGCTACCTATGATCCGTGTATGGCGAACATCAACTGCTGATCTCCAAGACCTTGGAAATGTTTTAGATTTAACTAACCTGTCAGTTGCAGGCCTCCTGTGCACAGACTTGCAGACGGTGCCAGTGAATACGATGGTTCATCTTTTGGCTTTAACAGTTCGTGTGTTGACACTGCATGGATTGACAGCTCCTAGACAAAAAATAAAGTCAATTATACGCTTAGTTACAACTATTCTATATTAAAGATAAGCGGATAGCTGATGATTTGTGATCATTTTTGATATACTGCTAGGATTTGTAAAAAGTATGGAATAGGCGCTTTAGGCCTCATTCATCGCACAAATGTACTGAAAATACGCTGGCATTCTACGAGACCTATATCCTTCCCTTTTCTGATGGAATCAAAATAAATATGTAATTTATTTTACAATGGCATATGTTTTTATTAAATAATTATTTCGATTTGAAAAACATAATTATTAAAATGTGTACACTGATAAAATCACACTAGAAAGTATTGCAAGAGCGCGCGCACACCTTCGACTAAACTATCACACAACTGATTAGTTGCGTTTAGATTCTTTGTTACAGTTATGCGATAGTATAGTCAAAGGTGTGCGCCTTCGCTAAGATCACATATTTATTAAAGAGTGTCTGTTAAGGCTTTTCCTTATATTTCAACATGTTGCTTCAAACACCACCACATTTCAATGGAATTAAACGAAAAGAGTATTATTAACATTACGAGTACTTATAGGAATAGTAACAACACGAAACACTCAGAGCTAAGACATCAATCAAATGGTATATTTGATGGTAGATTAACTCTCTATGGTCCTCTTTCTACACTTATAATTGACTAGCTGTTCCTGCGCGGCTTCATCCGCATGACATTTTATTTTATTGTTTACATTTGTCAAATTATCAATAGCAAATGTCAAACTGACATGACATGACAAACCTTGGCAATCTTATTTCCTTGATGTTGGCAGTTATTTATCGTCTCTTTCCCACATTAGGGCTTTTATCTAAATTATTTACCCCCTAAGTTTAATGGCGTGAAAATGTATAGCCTAAAGCATGACGTAAGAGTATGGCTTTTTATCAAAAAAGGAATTATTCAAAAATATGTTGTGATTGCTGATATCTTACGCAACAAAGAAGTGTGTGTTTACGCCTTATTATAATAGTATAGATATATATTACAATACTAAATTTTTTGGAATAACATATGTATCTAAATAGAGAAAAATGTGTAAAAATTGGCAAAAATACATTAAAACTGTGCTAACGATACTTTTCTCATGACATAATTCGTAATTATTTATTAACTACTCGACTATTGAATTCGGGCATTTATTATTTTAGAATTTAATATTGAATAAAAACTTTTATTTGCTAAATTTAATCGAATTTGTCGTTAAAGATCTCACCAGATAAAAGATCCGCTACAAATTTCTTTTCCGGCCACAACAAAATACTTTTTTGTATGTTGACTATTCTTCAAGATTGAAAAATGTTACCACAAATGTAACTGATATTTAACATAGTCGCGTCTTCGTTACCTTGTGCTGAAATCATACTTAACAAGCGACTGTTAAGCACAGCTGTACCCAAACTTAAGTATTCGCGCGTGGGTGCTGCCGGCGGCATCGGCAGAGCAACGCGACCGGCAGCATTCGAACTGCTTGAAGCTGTACGTGTATGGCAACCCTTTGTTTAAAATTTTGCAGAGTTGTAAGTGTTTATGTCAAATAAGACCTTGCACGAGCTACGCCAATACGTCAGCATTATGTGAATTCTGTCGCGTGCCTTTCAATTTAAAATTCTTGTGAAATCGCTTGTTATGAGTTTCGTATTTCACAAAAACGATTTCAATCAATTGCTTGTGTAATTGAGTACCTATTCTTAAGTAAATAAGTTACTACTAATTATACCACCCGTGCGCAATAACATAATGCTGATATGGCATACGTGTCGGCTTGCTTCTTTAGAGTGTATCGTTAAATTTTCAATTTTATCTAAATAAATATGAATATTATGAATGTATATTATAATATTTAAAAAAAATATGTCAGTCTTCTACATAAACAGCACTCAGAGAAAATACACCCCAACGTTATAACTGTTATTTACTTTCAAATATACATAAAAGCCCTTTTTCGTTTCCTAAAAACCATATTTGTATGGTGATATGTAATGACTAATATTGTTGTTTTGTAATATCCTCGAACAATGATTAATAAAAAAAAATTTTGTTTGCTTCAACGGTTATACGTAAAGACATTTATCGTAAATTTTCCTACGAATAGATGAAACGCCTCTAAGATATTACAACGTTCTCAAAGAAATTAGCACCCATCGAACTAACACGTGCGTACGATATTTTTCTAATGTTAATATTAAATCGAATCTCAAAGAGATGGCCAATAAATATTCAACAATGTCTATTTTTAAATACGTAGGACGCTTTCTCCGATCTTGAATGAACGGCAAGGCGACCCTCCTCGTAATGTGTCCGTAGCGACGGCACAGAGCATAGGAGACAAGCGGGAAGCGCCGAAAAATACTCTGTGAAGTGTAATTCCACTGTAGTAATGCATATGTTCATATATTGCTGTCCCTGTTGTTTCAAAGAGAATGAAAGAAATGAAAATATATTTTTATAAATATTCGACAGTTTGCTTAATACAATTATCCATATGAGAAAGTCTTTATACCCAGGAAAAATAATTTACACCTGACTAATTTTTGTTTTTTTTTTTAAATGTAAAGTGACGAAACATGCTTGATGTTCGCATCTGTAACTTATTCTATGGAGTTTATTGTATGAAAGAGTTATTTTTTCGTATATTTGTCTACCGTCATAAAACTTCACTATCGAATTCGCTAAACGAAAGTTTAAAAATTCGCTTTTATACAATTTTGTGAAATAGTTCTCATGTGTTTTGTAGACTTTAAAAAAGAGTATCAAAACTGGACCAACATTTTGAATTCAAATATTGTTAATTAAAATTCAAGTATTCTTGCTTTTAGGACTATGCCACCAGCACGTGGGTTTATGATAGACGTTTCATTTTGTACTAAATTGGTAATATTTGGTATAGTAAGTCTCCGCTCAGGTCTTGGGCCGAGGAGTTAGCATTTTGACAGTGTCAGCTACACCCGAGCTGATTTGTTCGCAACAGCTGCGAGAGCGCACCTATTAACCGCTGATACATGTTTGTCAGCCGGCTATTAGGGTGAAAGAGATAAAATTTTGGAATCATCTATAAAAGAGCGAGATCGATTCATTTCTCCGATTCACGACCGATATTTATTTGCTGCATCGTGACATTCGAGAAAATTTCTCGTACAGAAAAATTGGAATTGGAATATAAATGCGACATCTTCGCTGGCAGGCCATTCCTCTTGTTTCTATAAATAGAAACATCGGTCAATATTACATTTTTAATGATCTCTTTACTCTAAACTCGATATTACTGGAAGACTCATAAGCTGTTAAATAGGCGGATATAAAAATATTCAACAACTTTAAGAGGAAATGCACAATTACGTTTTGAGAAAATTGATAAACATCTTGTGAGTTGAACACAAACATCATTGAGACATTTATTATATGCCCCTGTTTACAGAATATATATTGTTGGTTGGATATTAACCATGAAAATTTGTCAACGCTACGTTAGTTTACTAACACGGGAGCAATAAAATAAATGAATTATGTCCTTCCTCAAGTTAATATCTCACGCACGTTAAATGAATCATTTTTGCACTTCGTTATACATGTGATTAATGTTGTGTTCAATAATCTTAACTGTAATATGAAAAGAATTTTCAGTAATACTTTGATTTTTAATGTTTTTTTTTTCTGGAAACGTTTTCATTTTTACGGTTTTATAACATTGAACTTTAACTATTGGAAAGGATTATATGTTTCGAGATAGTTTAAACTAAACTGAGTATAGGCACTAATTTCGATTTATAAAATTTCTAATAAGATAAATTGGTTATTAGTTTAATAAGAATTTTTTCCTATTTTGGTGATCTTTGTATAGTTAATTGCATTATTTATAAAAAGTTAGTGTAACTGTGGGGTTCCACTGATGTCGTAGTTACACCGAAATCATTAAAAAATATGAGAAAAACACTAGGCTTAAGGGAATCTTAAAAAACTGCTATCTAAACTAAGACTAAGTAGCTACGGTATAAACAGTCCACTGGTTACTACATAAAATGTCTAATTTTAATGCAATACCGATACGATCCTAAGATGATTTATATTGTTATGAAACATGCCATAGTTTTAAACATGTTATCGCCCTAAAATATAGTAAACGACAAAAGAAAGAATGCGTCAATGATTCGTTACAGCGATCAAAAAGAGAATATGTATAATAGGGTTGTCAAAAATATACAATAAATATAATTTTTCACTACTTGCTTATTCGTATTCCGAGAACTTCATTGTTTTCCAAACCCGTCTCCCAAAGTTCGCGCGATCGTAATGTGTAATTGTCTTAAATATGCGTAGTGGTTGAAATAATAAACAAATGTAATGCGGCTGTATGAAAAATATCTGCCAACTTCAATATAGTGTCAAAGCGACAGTGGATCGCAGGATGGGATTAAACGAAAATAGCGTGGTAATTAATGGGAGTTCCCGAGCCCACAATCTCGGAACGGGACGCATTTCTTGAATTTCAACTCGTTTTAAATATTAAGAAAAATTATAGTTCACTTAAGGTTACACTTTGTATTTTTGATTAAAAATATCTTGTTACATTCACAGTCATAATTAGATGTAAAGTTAAAATTGCCGGCGGATCATTTTGCCGATATACAAGTTAAAACAGTTGTCAACAAAGTAATATTTGCAGTATTCGTGGAGTACAAAATATTCAATAACACTCATATTGATTACTTTGTCATATCGGTACCAAAGGGATATACAAAGAGAGGGATTACCGTTTTCCATTTACACCATTTCGAAACTATTCCGAGAACTCAGGACAAATATGAAAAAGCGTTTCGCTCGTTTAAGTCCCTTTTAACGCTGTTATTGTTTTTTGTTGATTATAGTTTACTAGCCCCTGCACTTTGTTAGGTTATTGTCGTATAAAAATTTAACAATATTCGAACTTTTTACCGAATTACATTTACGAGGACGTTATTTTTCCTTTGAAAAACTGCTTCTAAATATTTTTTATTTCATATTGCTGTACGGAAACAGTACAAATACAGCGTTATTTTACCAGTCGTTGTTTATTTATTTATTATAAGGTCCAATCGGCATGGTTGTAAACGCCAATGTTTGCTTTAACTATTCGTGAATTTATCGCAGAAGTAAAATGTGTGGTGATTTTATTTTTTATGTCAATCGATGTACTCAGTGATCGCCAATCGTTTGTAATTGAAAGCCAAAACATATATGACCTAAACCAACATAAATGAAAAACAGTATTACAGTTATTTTAAACCTAGTATTTTTTCTGTCTTTACCTGACCATGTTCCGAACTGTCTGTTTGATTGCTGTGATTTGTATCCCAAACGCCAGAAGTATAGGCCTGAAACAATTGGAACATAACTGAAATTTTAAACTGGTTTTGGTTATGGTACTAACGGACTACAGAGATACATTTTTCTAGACTTATTGTTGATTATATTCGTATATTATCATTTTTACCAATATTTCTTGTTAAGACTCTAGATGCTTGGATGATTTAAACGTGATGCTATAAAGAGTATAGAAATATACTATAGTAAGGTGACCTTAACATCCATAGCTATTATAACGATGTTATATAAATAATTGCACACCTGTAGAGTTATATTCGAGAAATCTCTGTTAATAATTTATATAAGAAACTTCTCTTTCCCTCCGCGTGATATTTTTAATGAATACCAATCTTTATGCACCATCTTAAAATTCATTTATTCGAATGCAGAAGATTTTTGTACGATCTAAATAAAAACAAATTAATAACTATACAGAAAATCTTTTTCCGGCATCGACGTGATTCATGGAAACAAATTATTTTTCAACGGCTAAGGACAGTTGAAATCTGTTGAATTTATGAACGACGAAAATAATTTGTAACGTTGGCCTTAACGGTGACTCGGTCAGAGCTATACTTCTTTTAAACTAAAATTATTGACACTTATAACCACAAAAAATAAAAACTATTATCGAAAAAAATAAGTAATTATAACGACTCTATTCTATATAATTTATACGCCTGTGACTCCGTTTGCGCGGAATAAAAAGAAAGTAAGTAGCTTATGTGTTTTTTCAGACTTTCCTGTACATATATGCCAAATTTCATCGAGATCAGCTTTACATTTTAGGTTCCGTCTCCCTCTCTAAGTGCCTTTCCATTAATGGAGGTTGGCTGTCAGCTCAGCGAACTTTTTACGGTTTTGTGCCATCGAAATATAGTTGTTCTATAGTGGCTAATCCATGGTATTTTGCAACTATCATTTTTACAGGTAGGACTACAACATCCATCCATCCATCTAAACATTCGCATTTATAATATTAGTAAGATAATATGATAAATTCTGGAATGAAAGTGGCTTAAAAGTATCCCATTGCTGATCTTTATACTGGTTTAGTTGAAATACATAAGTCAAAGAGAAAAATAAGATAACGTAGCTTTTTTACAATACAAGATTCTTTGAAACAGGTCCAGTAGTTTTTGAGTTATTTCAATACATACAAAAATCCAAAAATACAATTTTCCTCTTTATAATGTTAACAAGCTTCGTCCGTCTGGAATTTAAAAAAACAAAAGTGAGCAGCCTATGTGTTCTTCCATACTATCCACTACATCTATACCAAATTTCATTGAAATCTGTTCAGCCGTTAAGGCTACAAACTCTAACAAACATCCATCCATCCATATAAACTTTCACATTTATAATACTAGTAGGGAGTATAGATATACTCCCTATATATTTGAGACACGCACTACCTACTATTAAATAATATCAGTATACGATATTATTACTAAACATTTACAAAGTTTTTATTAACTCAGTGTATAGAAATCTCGTACTATTTCTCTGAAATATTATTATGTTAAAACGATTCGAACAATAGTTACATTTACGTCAAATACGTCTAAATGTAATCCGTCATAAGTATAAGGGCCTGTCTCACCAAATTGTAAACTGTCTGATAACAATGCAACGTGTAAAATATGTGGAAATATCGGATGTTGCTCCCATATATGACAGTGAAGTCATTTAAGCTATCCAAGCCTAGGCAGCTATTAGTGGAACAGGCCCTCAAAGCTCTAAAAACATAGAATGCAATAACTCTGCTTATGATATACAGCGATCTGTAATCATTAATCATAGCAAACGAAAAAAAATAAATAAAAAGGAAGTAATCATTTCATTATGTTCCCTGTATGTAAACCTACTATGTTTAGTCTTGGCAAGGATTTATTTTCAATTTTTATATAATTCTTCCACATTAAAAAAAAAAAACAAAAAGACAACGAATAAAATTTTGCATATCTTTATTTACACGCACACATTTATTTTAAATCCCTGAAACTTTTACAGAAAGTACAAGAAATATAAACGAATCTGATCGGTACAGACTGATGTAAGTAGATACAAAATAAATTTAAGTAAAGTCGAAGTGAAAATTGTCACGCCATTTCATAGACTAAAAATCAATCTACCTAATGGAGAAAACGTAAGAGAGAAAACGGGAAGTAAGTTCGAAGTAGCTTTCAATGTATTTTGATCTACTATAATACTAAAACCTCTAACAAAGTGAAATACTCGTACTATGTTTATATCCTGTGAACGAGGCTTTGAAACCAAAGCAACGGTATAGATTCGTTGCGTCCTGACAAACCGTTTAATAGACAGTCTCAGTATTCGAAATCAAATCCAATATGGATCAAACTCTGCCTTTGTGTGGTTTTTGAATTTCAGTGTGCTCCAGGCTTATGTGTACTTGTCTGACGGTTATATTCTGACTAGGGTTGTAACGGACCCCGCTTCCGCAACCGCAAGTGTGGAACTTCTCATGAAATGATAATGCGGAGTTATAACAGAGGTTAATTTAAGTTTTTAACGCGAGTGGGACGATTAGGTATCGTTTATACGACCCGCGCGGGCGTGATATGTCAAGTAACTATAATTGTTATACATTACATTTGCATAATAAACAGTATTTATATACCAATATGTATTTCGAATTAATGTAGTTTTAGTATTGATTTCTTTATTAAATCTCAATTAATATCTAATAATTGACCTCCGCTCCGCTTCCGTTAACCTCCGCTTCTGCAGAGGTAAAGCCCTTCACCGCCGCATGCGCATCCGCTTACGTTAAAATGGTCTCCGTTACAACCCTAATTCTGACGCTCTGTGTCATGTCGCAATCTATTTCATCGCGTTTGTTTCGCTCACGCTACACAAGATCCTAATTCATTTTCTTTTTGGATGACGCAATACAAAATCCCAAAGGTGTGTAAGCCTAACAACGTGGATAACTTTGTCGATAGTTTAAAAGGTTAAACTTCTAATTCTGCTATCGTTATCTAAGATTAAATTATATTTTTGATATGTGTGAAGTCGACCAACCCGCACTAGGCCAGCGTGGTTGACTATGGCCTAATCACCCTAACTTAGGGGAGGCTCCGAACCCTTCGGTGGGGACATATAGTGAGCTGGTGATGATGATATGTCTAAGTATATATATTTTTATAATAAAACACAAAGTCTATATCACCTTGATACAACAGTAATGATTCTTATAACAAACCACGATTATTTAGTAAAACATTATAGTAACATTGATTTAACAATACATGCTATTAGATAAAAGATAAACATAAAATCGAAATTGCGGGCTTCCGTTTTCACATTTCTCTTGCTTCTTCCGCACCCGCGTCTATGTGAAAATAAATACTAACTAAAATCAGATTTCAAGGATTTTTCAGCAAGCTTTCTCCAGGTTTTTCGAAATTACTTATTCGAAATCTACGATTAGATTTGAACTTGAATTAGAATTTAAACTTTGTTAAAAACTAGCTTCTGCCCGCGACACCGTCCGCGTGGTATTAATAAAAACAAAAGAAAGTAGCCTATGTGTTCTTCCCGACTATCTTCTACGTCTATGCTATTTCGCATTTATAATATTAGTAAGACATATTTGTTACTAAGTGTCGGCCGCCTTTTTATGTGTTTGACGTAAAAACTACTGGGCCGATTTCAAAAACTATTTCACTATTACAAAGGTAATTTATCTGTAATATAGGCTATGTATTTTTTATTATTTTTTAAATTACACGAGGACTAAGTCGCGAGGAACAGCTACTTTAAAATAAATTCAATTGCTGTCTCCCTATTACGAGTTCTTAATATATACATGCCTTCCCGTCACGATTTGATTAAAACGATGGTTCCTAAATGTTTGTTTATTGCAAATATTATATTGATTTTCGTGGTTAAAAACTTGTTTGTCGGTAATTAGTTACATCCAAATATGTGAAGTTAATAAATGAACTAACTCTCTAACATATTGCGTCGACGCAAAATGTGCCTTACTCTCCGACAATACGTGTCCATTTTCCTAGCAACTAATTATGACAAATCAAAATACGTTATCACTAATACTTAGAATTATGCACTCAATTTAAACTGAAACCAAAATATCTATCGGATATAGCAAATAGTTTGTGAAAATTTCTATATATACTATTTAACATAATAAACATACAAGTACGAAAAATAGATCAAGGTAGATGTGCGATGATTTTGTAAAGTCAGCATTTTCATTATTAGTTAGTAATCACGTATACTTTTTCTTATAATTGAATCAAAGTTTCACCTTGACCGAAAATTACGAATGCAACGGTTTAGCTAGAGTTGAACATTATGTTTTGCTTTACAATATTTTTTTACTGTTAGAATTAGCTGAATGATTGTTTTTCCCCTGAGCATTATATAAGTTAAAACTTCAAGGAACTTGGATTAATTAATACTAGTTTTTGCCCGCAACTTCGATCACGTGGAATTAAAAAAAAAACAAAAGCAGTTGTGTGTTCTTCCAGACTATCCTCTACATATATACCAAGTCATCGAAATCGGTCCAGCCGTTTAGACTACAAATTCTAACAAACATCCATTCATCCATCCATCTAAACTTTCGCATTCATAATAATAGTAACATTTTCTAACCAAACTTAGTACTTCTTTTGAACTACGTACAGTCGCGTACATCTGCGGTGTTCCTCTTACAGGAAAAATGCCTTGATTCTTGCAACAAGGCAAACTCAGCCTCTTACTATAAAATTAGGTAGAAATTTGACCAAACAACGAGAAAATAAATAAGAAAACTGGTCCTGACCGACTTTCGTTTCTCTCGTTTTCATTTAAAAGCTTCGTTCTATTTGTTACTGTATTGCTTCGTCGTGTCAATCAAGCAACTGCAGATTTTAAGATGAAACACCGGCAGATTCCTCGATTGTACAAAACTACGTCGCACATTTAGCAAACGTTGTATCCAATCAGTATTACTATTTTTTTTTGTTTTAAGGTC